CTCTCTCTCTCTCTCCCTCCCTCCTTCTCTCTCTCTCTCCCTTACCCATACACATACCACACATATGAGAGAGGGAGAGGGGGAGGAGAGAGAGAGAGAGAGAGAGAGAGAAGAGAGAGAGATCCTTACTTGGTTTTGGTATCAGGATAATGTTGACCTCATAAAATGAGTTATGTATTTTATTCAATTTTTTGGAAAAGTTTGAGGAGAACAGGTATTAAATCATCTTTGAATGTTTGGTATAATTTACTAGTGAAGCCATCTGGTTCCTGGACTTTTACTTTTGGGTAAGTTTTCGATCACTGTTTCAATTTTCTTACTGTTGATAGGTTTATTTCAATTTTCTAGTTCTTCATGATTCAGTCTAGGAATGTTGTGTGTTTAATAGAACTTTTCCATTTCTTATAGGTTATTAAATTAGGTGGCATGTAATCTTTCATAGTATATGATCTTTTATATTTTGGTGGTATCCGTCATAACTTCTCTTTCATTTCTGATTTTGTTTATTTGTGTCATTTCTCTTTTTTTCCTTAGTGAGTTAAGCCAGGGGTTTGTCAATTTTCTTAACTTTTTTATAGAACCAGCTCTTTGTTGAATTAATTTTTTCTATTGTCCTCAATTTCATTTAATTCTGCTCTAATTTTTATTATTTCTCTTTTTCTACTGACTTTAGACTTCATTGTTTTTCTTTTTCTAGCTTTTTAAGATGTAATGTTAGGTTGTTCATTTGGGCTTTTCTTGTTTCTTGTGATAGGCCTGTAGTAATATGGACTTTTCCTCTTATTACCACTTTTGCTGTATCCTCCAAAGTTTTGGTATGTTTTATTTTCATTCTTATTTGCTTCTCTGTATCACACTTGATCTTTCCTTTTATTTCTTCTCAGTCATTCTTTAGTAGCATATTGTTTAATTTTATTGTTCTTAATGCAATTATAAACGGTACTGTTTTCTTAATTTCTCTTTCAATTTTATTGTTCTTGATGCAATCATAAATGGTACTGTTTTCTTAATTTCTCTTTCAATTTTATTGTTCTTGATGCAATCATAAATGGTACTGTTTTCTTAATTTCTCTTTCAATGACTGGTGTATAATATTACATCTGATTTCTAAATATTAATTTTATATCCTTCTATTTTACTGAATTCACTTGTCAGAGTAAACAATTTTTTGGTGGAATCCTTAGGATTCTCTATATGTAGTGTCATGCCATCTGCAAATAATGACACTTTTACTTTGTTTTTAATTTGGATACCTTTCGTTTCTTTTATTTATTTATTTATTTATTTATTTATTTATTTATTTATTTATTTATGTCTGATTGCTGTGGCTAGGAGTTTCAATACTATCTTGAATAAAAGTGGAGAAAGTGGACATCCTTGTCTTATTCCTGATCTTAAGGAAAATGCTTTTAGCTTTTCCCCATTGAATATGATGTTAGCTGTGGATTTTTCATATATAGCCTTTATTCTGTTGAGATATGTTACCTCTATTCTTACTTTCCTGAGAGTTTATATCATAAATGGATGCTGGATTTTGTCACAAGTTTTTTCTGCAACTATTAATATGATCATATGATTTTTATTCTTCATTTTGTTTATGTGGTGTAGCACATTAATTTATCTGTGGGTATTGAACCAACCTTGCATCCCAAGAATAAATCTCGCTTGATCATGGTGTATTATTTCTTTAATGTACTGCTGAATTCTATTTGCTAATATTTCATTGAAGATTTTTGTGTTTATGTTCATCAGAGATATTGGCCTATAATTTTCTTATTTTTGTAATGTCTTTGTCTGGATTTGGAATCAGGGTAATGGTGGCCTCGTAAATTAAGGTTGGGAGCCTTCCATTCTTTTGAAATCTTCGGAATAGCGTCAGAAGTATAGGTGTTAATTTTTCTTTGAAGTTTTGTAAAAGTCACCTGTGAAGCCATTCATTGGAAGTTTTTTGATTACTTAATATTGTTAGTAGTAATTAGTCTGTTCAGATGTTTTCTTCTTAATTCAATCTTGAGAGATCGTGAATTTCTAGAAATTTACCCATTTCTTCAATTTGTTGGCATATAATTACTTGTAGTATTTTCTTATAATTCTTTGTATTCTGTGTTGTCAGTTGTCACTTCTACTCTTTCATGTCTGATTTTATTTATTTGGGTTTTCTCTTTTTTCTTAATGAGTCTCTTTGAAAAACGTTTATCAATTTTGTTTATGTTTCATAGAACCAGTTCTTGATTTCATTGATTTTTTGTATTGTTTTTTTTTATGCTCTATTTTGTTTATTTCCACTCTGATCTTTATTATTTCCTTCCTTCTACTAACTGTGGGCTTTGTTTGTTATTATTTTTTTTAGTTCCTTCAGGTTAGATTATTTGAGATTTTTCATATTTCTTAAGGCAGACCTATATTGTTATGAAATTTTCTCTTAGCACTGCTTTTACTGTGTCCCATAGATTTTGTGTCATTGTTTTTTATTTTCAGTTGTCTCACGAGGTATTAATTGTTAACTAATTCATTGTTTAGTTAGCGTGTTATTTAGCCTTCATGTGTTTGTATGTTTTTTAGTTCTTTTCTTGTAATTGATTTCTAGTTTTATATCATTGTGGTCAGAGTAGATATTTGATACAATTTCAATTTTCTTAGATTTACTGAGGCTTGAGTTGTGGCCTAATATGTGGTCTAACTTGGAAAACGTTCCATGTACACCTGACAAGAATGTATATTCTGCTTCTTTGGGGTGAATTCCTCTGAAAATATCAATTAATACCATCTGGTTTAGTGTGTCATTTAGGGCCACCATTTCCTCGTTTATTACCTGTCTGGAAGATACGTTCATTTATGTGAATGGAGTGCTAAAGTTCCTTACTATGACAGTACTACTGTCAATCTCTCCCTTTATGTGGTCAATATTTGCTTCATATATTTATGTGCTCCTATGTTGGATTCATAGGTTTATATCCTCTTGTGGGATCTTTTTATCATTATGTAATGTCCTTGTTTATCTCTAATTATAGCTTTGTTTTAAAGTCTATTTTGTCTGATATAAGTATTGTTACCCCAGCTTTTTTTTTTCATTTCTACTTATATGAAATATCTTTCCCAGTCCCTTTACTTATAGTTTGTGTGTGTCTTTCAATCTGAAGTGGGTCTCTTGTAGACAGCATATGTATGTTTCTTATTTTCTTATCCATTCTTCTACCCTATGTCTTTTGATTGGAGTATTTAATCCATTTACATTTAAAGTTATTATTGATAGGTACACAGTTATTGCCATTTTATTATTTATATCTATGTTCCTTTCTTTTTGTTCTCCTCCTTCTCCCCTGCCCTTTCCCATTCTCCTCCTCCTCTCTGCCCATCCTTTAACGTATCTTGTGATATTGACTTGGTGATGATGAATTTCTTTGGCTTTATTTTTCTATCTGTGAAGCTCTTTATCTCACCTTCAATTTTAATTGCTAGCCTTGCTGAATGGAGTAGTTAGTTTTAAGTTCTTGCTTTGAATATTTTGGGCCAATGTTTTTTTGGCCTGCAAAGTTTCTGTTGAGAGAAACCAGCTGATGTTTTTATGGAAATACCCTTGTAAATAACACCTGCCTTTCTTTTGATGCTTTTAGGAGTCTCTCTTTGTATTTAATCTTTGTAATTTTGGTTATGATGTATCTTGGTGTGGGTCTGTTTGTGTTCATCTTGCTTGGGACTCTCTGTGCTTCCTGAACTTGTATATTTATTTCCTTCATTAGGTTAAGGAAGTTTTTAGTCATTATTTTCTCAAATAGTGTCTCAATCCCATGTTTTTTCTCTCTTCTCCTTCTGGTATCCCCTTGATATGACTGTTAGACTTGATGTTGTCCCAGAGGTACCTTAAACTATCCTCATGTTTTTGGATTCTTCTTTCTTTTTGCTGTTGTGATTGTATGTTTTCTACTACTTTATCTTCCAAATCACTGATTTGATCCTCTGCTTCATCTAATCTATTGTTGATTTTTTTCCAATGTATTCTTCATTTCGGTTACTGTATTCTTCATTTCTGACTAGTTCTTCTTTAATGGTTTTTATGTCCTTTTTTCTGCATACTATGTTTTTGTTGGAATTCTCACTGAGATCTTTCCTTAAGTTCATCAAGTATCCTTACAACCAGTGTTTTGAAGCCTGTATCTGGTAAGTTGCTTTTCTTCCTTTTTTTTTAGTTTTTTTTTTTCTGGAGTTTTCTCTTATTTTTTACTTTGAGACATCTTTGTTTTCTCATTTTGGTTTCTCCTCTGTGTTTGTTTCTATGTATTAGGTTGACCTTTTACATCTCCCAATTTTGGTAGAGTGGCCTTATGTAGTAGCCCAGTGGTCCAGTTTCCCTGATCATCTGTGCTGGGTGTTCCAGGAGTTTTCCTTGTGTGGACCATGCGGGCTCTCCTGTTGTAGTTGAGCCTTGATTGCTGTTGGCATGTTGGTGGGTGAGACTGACTCACAGGCATACTGGCTGCGAAGATTGGTCAAGTCCACAGTATATGTGCTGCTGTTTTGGGGCTGATCCCATGAAGTAGGATTCGCTCAAATGGGCTTCTGTGCCTGTTGTGTCCACCCTTTGTTTGTGCTGTTTGTGGGGCTAATCAGATGGTGATTCGTTGACATCTGACAGCAGCCTTTGGGTCTGTTGGTTTTAAAATCTCTTGCAAGGGGCTCCCATGTAGGCCAAGGACAGCTATTGCCTGTGACCAGCCCAGGGCAACCTGGTAGAAGCTACAGAGCTGTCCACAGTTGTTCGCTGCTTGTGTTGGACTTGGAGGCACTTGTAAGAGACCATACATTGGACTGAGTTTGGCTGCTACCAGTACCGAGCCTGAGGCAGTTCGGCAAAAGGCCTAGGGCACCCCAAAGCTCGAGGCTGCCTTTTTGTTTTCCATGAAGTATAATCCTCTTTAAATACTCTTGAAAACACCATACATTGGGAAAATGTAGAGATATAGAGCAATAAGTTTGATCATACCATGTTTTTTATATTTTAGGCACTCTGGGGGTGTAAAGGATTTTAGCACCTGTAACTTGGATGAGTTTAAATATTTTGCTTCAGATTCTGGCCTTGACTGTCTTAATAAAATCCTTCATGATATGCCAGTTTACAAATCACGGAAGATATGTGGCAATGGAAAGTTGGAACGAGGTGAACAATGTGATTGTGGCACTCTAGAGGTGAGGAGAAATTTTTTTCAAAACATTTTTTATTTCCTATATATACGTAATAGGTGGAAAATAAGATAAAAACCTTATTTTTAGAAAAATAAATTTTAAAAAGACTTTCTTTGGTGAAATTTGAAGTCTGTGTCTTCTTTTTTTGCTATATTTTGAAGTGGTGAGCAGAGGTCCTTTAGATAATGTTTGCCTTCAAATATTATGACATTTTAGTGTATAGATCAGTTACAAAATTAGAATTAGTGACCACAAACAGTTGACGAAGCAGTTGAAGAAATATACCTTTAACAACAAGTGGTAACAAACACAGACCAGAACATCTGAATACTGTAGACTATTACCAGTGGGATAGCAAAGTGCTATCCCATTTGATAATATAGAGAGAAAATATAGGGAGAAAAAATTTTGTATTGATAGGCGGTACCACTAAAACATTTTTAAATGAAAAGGGTCAAATATATGATGACAGAAGGAGATTTGACTTTGGTGGTGAACACAATGCAATATAAAGATGATGTATTATTGAACTGTACAGTTGAAATCTATATAATTTTATTAACCAATGTCACTCCAATAATTTTAATAAAAAAATAAGAAAAGAAATCTATCATAAATGGACCCAAATAAGCAACAATCTTTTCTGAGAAAAAAAGAACAAGGCTGGAGGTATTATTCTGCCTACCTTCAAGTTATACAACAAAGCAACAGTAATTAAAACAGCATGATACTGGCAGAAAAACAGACACAAAGACCAGTGGAACAGAATTGAGAGTTCAGAAATGAACCCCCATATATATGGGCAAATAATTTTTGACAAAGGAGCTAAAACCATATCATGGAGAAAAGAAAACCTCTTCAATAAATGGTCCTGGGAAAATTGGAAAGCCACATACAAAAGAGTGCTATTTGTCACCATACACAAAAATTAACTCAAAGTAGATCAAAGACCTAAATATAAGACCTGAAACAATAAATTGCATAGATGAAAATATAGGTACTAAACTCATGGACCTTGGTCTGAAAGGGGGTTTTATGAATTTGACTCCAACAGCAAGTAACGTAAAAGCAGAAATAAATGAATGGGAATATATTAAACTATAAAGCTTCTGTACAGAAAAAGAAACTGTCAACAAGGCAAAGAGGCAACCATCGAATGGGAGAATATATTTGCAAACAACGACTCTAATGAGGGCCTAATATCCGAAATATACAAAGAATTCATACAATTTAATAACAACAAAAAACAAACGATCCAATTAAAAAATGGGCAGAGGACCTGAATAGGTGCTTCTTCCAAGACGTACACATGGCCAACAGACATATGGAAAGATGCTCAACTTCACTAGCTGTTAGAGAAATGCAAATCAAAATGACAATGAGATACCACCTCACACCTGTTAGAATGGCTGTTATCAACGAGACAAGTAATAAGTGTTGAAGAGGTTGTGGGAAAAAAGGAAACCTCATACACTGCTGAAGGGAATGAAAATTGATACAACCACTAAAGAAAACAATATGGAGGTTCCTCAAAAAATTAAGAATAGAATTGCCATATGACCTAGCAACCCCTCTTCTGAGTATCTACCCCCAAAATTTGAAAACATTTCTCTGTAAAGATATATGCACCCTGATGTTCACTGCAGCACTATTCACGATGACCGAGTAATGGAAACAACTGAAGTGCCCTTTGATAGATGATTAGATAAAGATGTGGTACATATGTACAAAGGAATATTACTCAACCATAAGAAAAAATGAAATATTGCCATTTGTGATTACATGAATGGATCTTGAGATTATCATGCTAAGCGAAATAGATGGAAAAAGTTGAGAATCATAAGATTTCACTCATATATGGGATATAAAACCAAAAGCAATAAATGAACAAGACAAACAGAGACTCATGGACATTGGACAACACTTTAGTGGTTACCAGAGGGAAAGGGGAGGAGGTAGATAAGGGTAAAGGAGGTCAAATATATGGTGACAGAAAGAAATTTAACTTTGGGTGGTAAAAACACAATGTAATATATAAATGATGTATTGTAGACTTGCACACTTGAAATGTATATAGGTTTATTAACCAATGTCATCTCTGTAAAATTAATAAAAAGAATCTATTACTTTTCTAAAATGTAAAAATATGGAACAAATATCAAACAAAAAAAATGAAAGATTATAGGTCATATTGACAACAAAGTGAAGTAGTCATATGAAAACGTTCAGACATTGCAGTTGTAAAATGTGAACTATACATTAAATAAACATGTTAAAGGTATATTTACATATTAAAATATAAAATATATTACATATAAACCATATGTAATATGGTTTATATATAAATATGTACATATATGTATGTTACTTAATGGCAGTGGAACACATCTTAAAGAAGAAAGAAGCCAGAAGAAAGTTTACTCTAGAAAAACTGCATCTATAATAGATAAGAATTTTAAGTTTATGTCTTTCTAGCCTAAGGGTGCTCCTCTACCTTTGCAGATATGGCATAATTAAATTGCTGTGGAAAACTGAAGCTTTACAGATTCAATGTAACAGAGAACAGAGTTCAGGGATGAGAGCCAATGGAAATTTAAGGGTAAATCCTAGAAGTTAGAGAACTGTAAAAGTGATATGACCTAAAATCTTATTATTAACTATACAAATACTTGGCTAACTGCTAAGATATGCATGGTCTAGAAATATCCCATGGGGCATAAAAAGAGGATAAGACACTTGAAAGACATAGGTATACTGGGTGAGCTCTGTGAGTTTGATTATTTTTTTGTAGAGTGTTTTTCTACTATGTGCAACTCAAGCAGCAGAAATTTAAGACTCGCTGGTTTCAAATATCAATATAAAGACTGAGACTGAAACTGAAACTGGAAATTAAAGATAAATTTTTGGAAACAAAGAAACTGCAGATAGATTGTACTCTGAAATATAAGTGCAATCTCTGCCTAAATCCTTGACTGAATGCCACATTACATCCGGGAATCAAGATAAAAATTCAGCAGGTGGAAGCCATATGAATTGAACAGAGATAGCTGCTGCACATTGTAGGGGAGCTGAAGTTTATAGTTTACGCCCAGGCAACTTAACTTCCTCCTAGGGGGAAAAAAAAAAACCCTCCAGAAGGACACAGCTGAATATAGTCATTATATCACTTTTTTCTATAATGTCTAATATATTACCCCAAAATTACTAAACATCCAGAGAAACAGGGAAGTATGTACCATATTCAGGAAAATAGGCAGTTAAGAAACATGGCTCAAAAAATAAAGCTTGAAGGCAAGTAGAATATATTTTTAACAGTATGCAAATGAAAACATTAAAAAAGATGAGATTCAGCAAAAATAAGATTTTGAGGAACATCTATAGCTTTAAAAGTTTATATTAGAGAAAAAGAAAGATCGAAAATCAATTATTTAGAACACTACTTTAGGGAACTAAAATATGTCTAAATTAAAGCTAAAATAGAAGGAACGAATGATAAAGATAAAAGCAAAAATCAATGAGTTAGAAACCAGAGAATAAATATCAATGAAAATAAAAGCTGGTGCTTTGAAAAATTTCAGTGTGCTGGATATACCTCTTACTGTGCTGATGAAGGAAAAGTGAGAAATAAATTACCAAGATCAGGAATAAAAGAGGGCATATTATCATACATTCTATATATGTTAAAAATAAGGAATATTAAAAACTACTTTATGTAAACAAATTTGACAATTTAGATAAAATTGTCAAGTTTCTTAAAACACAGATTATCACAATCAGTATAAGAAGATAAAATTTGAATAGCTCTGTATTTAGTGAAGAAATTAAATTTGTAATTAAAAGATTTTTCCACAAAGAAACTCCAAATCCACATTACTTTACTAGTGAATTTTATCAAACATAAAACAAAGAAATAATGCCAATTATACATGAATCTTCTCAGATAATGGATGGAAGCATTTTACAATTCATTTCATGAAGTAAATATTGGTCTGAAGTCAGAACTAGAGAATTAAAAGAAAAGAAAATCACACCAATATTTCTCATGAACAGTGTATAAATAGGTTAATAAATCTTGACCAAGTGGAGTTTATCCCAGGAATATGGAGTTTTAACATATAAAACATATATAATTCAGCATAATAACAATATATGAAGAAAAAATATTTGAGAAAATTTAGTATCAACTCATAATAAACTAAGCACTCTAGGAATAGAAGAGAAGCTCCTCAGTCTACTAAAGTACATCTCTGAGAAACCTGCAACTATTGTCCTATTTACTGGTGAAAGACTCAATATTTTCCCCTAATATCTTGAGCAAGGCAAAGATGTTTGCTCTCACCACTTCCATTTAACATTGTAGATCGACACTGTAGTGGATGCTATAGTCATTGCAGTAAGGCAAGATAAAGACACATAATGATTGGAAAGGAGGATGTAAAACTGTCTTTAATCAAACTCAACTTGGCCACATGAGCAGAGAATTCTAAGCCATCTCTCCCCTGACCCCAAGAACTACTAAAACTAATTAGTGAATTCAAATCACTGGATAAAAGGTCAGTGTACAAAATTCAATTGAATTTCTATGTATAAGTAATAAATGGAAAATGAAATGAAATGTACAATTTGATATATATTGTTTCAAAAATATGAAATATATAGAGGTAAATTTAGCTTAATATGTGAAAAATCTGTATATTAAAAACTGACGTTGCTCAGAGAAATGAAAGAAGATTGAAGTGACTGAAATCCCACTTTCATAGATCAGAAGACAATATTGTTAAGTTTTGGCCCTACATGAATTGATACATTCATTTAACATAATCCCAATTCAAACCCCATCCATCTTTTTATAGCAATTGACAAGCTGATATTATAATTTATTTGCAAAGCAAAGACCTAGAATAGACAAAGCAATTAAAAGAAAAAGAACAAAGGTGGTGGAACATATATACTAATTTTCTTTAAATTTAAAATGTTCTACATAGTTATAATCACAACAATGTAGTATTGGCCAGAGCATGCATATATACTTTAATGGGACAATATAGATAATCGGTATATAAAATAATATTTATATAGCCAATTGATTTTCTGCAAATATGTAAGAATTCAATGGGTGAAGAAAATCTTTTTAACAAAAGTATATGAACTGGATATCCATGTAAATAATATAAACTTTGACCTTTTATATACAAAAATTAATTTGAAATGGATCAAAGACCTAAATATAAAAGCTAAAATTCTAAAGCTTTTAGTGTAAAACATAGGAGACAATATTTTGATCCTATAATAAGCAAAATTTCTTAGATACAGCAAATAAGAATGAGTTTTTAAAGAAAAAAATGGTAAATTAGAAACTTTTTCTCTTAGACTCTGTTAAGAAAAATAGAATAGCAAGCTCCAAATTGGAAGAAAATATTTATAGTTCATATATATTCAAATATATGTGAATATATATAAATATTCAAAAGCCAATTTAAGCATTTTTATTAAAAATATTAAAAAAAGAAAATTAAGTATCTGGTTTCTGGTCTGAGATATGAGAAGTTTAGAAGTCACCATTTGAGTCTTTACAACAAAAGCTAAACAAATTGAAAAAGCAACAATTCTTCTTAGGTCGGTCAGAGAAATGAGGTTATAGGACAAGCCACTGCACCCCAAATTGGAAAGACTGATAGGCAAATCACAGATAATCAGTGCTTGGGTAGGAAAACCTGAACTGTAATTGACGAATTGTTGGAGGCTCAATGTGAACAACTTTTATAGTTAAAAATTCTAGGGAGGCCCTTACACTTTTGTGAGTTTTACCTCTAGGAGCTCAAATTGATTGTCACAGTGAATATTGGAGAGAAGTATTCTCATGCTTCTGGAAGAAGGCAGGGTAAAAGAACCATTTTAAAATAGCCAGAACATTCTATTCTTAAGGAGGTTTACCCTTGCACATATACAAAGTTGGATTTGAAGAAAAAAAAAAATCAATAACCAAACAATTTGATTGAAAGATACAGTATGAAAAAAATAACAAAAGAATATTTAAACTTTGAGTTACATGAGTCAATATATGAAATAAATAACGTTTTGAAAGTATAATATTGAGGCTTATGGTCAAGCTGTTCATTGAAAATATTAATAAGAAATTATCAGCAACAAAAAAAGACAACACCGGGAAACAAACATCTGATATTGACAAACTACATAATTTAGAAGAGACTTGCTACTGAAGACTAAAAAAAGTTGATTGAAGGCACTGAATCTTATAAAATGTTAAGTAAGTATAAGAGCCAGCCTCCCAGTGAAATCTGAGGTGAATAGGTAAGCCTGGCTTCTTGGACCACTTTTTTTAGGGTGGAGTTTTAGGGTTTTGCCATTTTAGAGAGGGAAGCTGAGAATCCAAATGTTGCTTTTGACAGTTTCATATTAGAGAAGTTCTATGTGTGAAAAGATTTGGCTTATACAATTTATTATAAAAAAGCAAGAGTATAAGAAAACGTTTGAAGAGAATGGTAGTTAACAAGGTATGTAATCAGTATTCTCTCTAAGATTTTGGCACCACAGTGGCATGTTAATATTGTTCAAATTCTATGGAATGTAGTGAAACAACACATTTCTTTTACAAACTAGTGAATAAGATGTTGATTTCTATAAATCTCATAAAGAATAGGATTATAGAAACTGAATTTAAGAACTTCATACTTCGTAAAGAAATTCTATGTTACAGTTTTATTTCATGGTACCTAATTATGTGATTAACACAGCATTTGTTTACAGACTTGTACACATAAAGACTGCTGTGATCCTAGAACATGTACACTCAAAGGTTCTAAAGTTTGTGGTTCCGGGGAATGCTGCACACAAAAGTGCACGGTAAGAAGCAATCTGTATTTTATAATAGCTCAGCAATTCTTGAAATTCTTGTTTAAAGAAGATAGAAAGCATATTTCACCCTTCCCATTATATTATATGCAAACAACATTGGATTCGCTCTCACACTTCAGCCCATTCAGCAGTCTATCATTTCCAGGACTCTCATGTATGTAATGCCTGATGCTTGGTTTCTCCTGACTTGGCTTCCCATTTCTATACCTCATTACGAATCTTTCTGGTACCCATTGAGATTTCTCTGTGGTCGACATACATCTGGAACAACCCTCTTATGGTCTTATTTTCTAATACCCTAACCTCACGTGGGATTAGGAATTTAGATTCATTCTTTTAGTTGGCTAAATTCACTGTCTTCTGGTAAAGCCTCTGTTCCTTTGCAATTCATTCAGTTATTGTTATAATCATTCAATCCCTCTTCATTGAAAGCATTTAAAGAATTCCTGAATAATTGCCCAAACCCAGCATAATTCCTAAGGAAAAAAGAAACAAGCTCCTGACCAAGATAAACGTCTATAAGATGGGAGGAAGGGTATGCTTTTATCCTTTTTAAAAAATTTCCCCCAGCTCTATTTGAGATATAATTGACATATAACATGTGTAAGTTTAAGGTGTACAACTTAATGATTTGGCATAAGTATATATTACAAAATAATTACTGAATAAGTTTAGTTAATACATATACCACTTCACATAGCAAAAACATTTAAGATTACTATCTCAGCAACTTTCAAGTATTTAATACATTATTGTTAACTATTGTTAGCTGTAGTCACATGCTGTACATTAGATCCCCAGACTTATTAATTTTATAGCTGAAAATTTGTACCCTTGGCCATCATCTTCCCATTTCCCCCACTGTGCAGCCTTTGGCAACCACCATTTTATTCTCTGTTTTGGTGAATTTGTTTGTTTGTTTTCTTTTTTACATTCCACATGCGAGATTGTAAAGTATCTGACTTGTTTCATTTAGAATAATGCCCTCAAGGTTCATCTGTGTTGTCACATATGGCAGGATTTCCTTCTTTTATTACTAAATATTATTCAGTTGTGTGTGTATTATTCCTTTGTGTATATATGATGTATGTCTATTATATTTATTAATATTTTTTAATAATATATAATATAATATAGAGTTTATATAACATTACAGATGTAATAATATAAATGATACCATTGTGTGTGTATGCATGTATATCTATACAAAACAAAGGGATGTGGAGTACAGCATGGGGAATATAGTCAATATTATTGTAATGGCTGTGTTTCGTGCCAGATGGATGCTAGAGTAACCAGGGGGATCATTTCATAAATTATATTAATGCCTAACCATTGTACTTTATACCTGAAACTAAAATAAAATAAAAAAGTAATAAAAAATAAAAGCTTAAAAAAAGAGTGAAAGTATGAGTAACATTCACTCATTAATGGACACTTAGGTTGTTTCCATGTCTTGGATGTTGTGCATAATGCTGCAATGAACATGGGGGTACTCATATCTCTTCAAAATTATGATTTTATATTCTTCAGATATATACTCAGAAATGAGATTCCTGAGTCAATGGTAGTTCTATTTTTATTTTTGGGGGAGCTTTTTTTGTAGTATAGATATTTTAACAGTATTAATTCTTCTGTCCATGAACACAGGATATCTTTTCATTTATTTGTTTCTCTTTTAATCTTTCAACAGTGCCTTACAGTTGTCCATAGACAGCTCTTTCACATCCTTGGTTAAATTTATTTCTAAGTATTTTATTGTTTCTCATAATATACATGTGATTTTAAAAGTTTCTTTGTACATCGTAAATGTATGGAAATGCAAAGGATTTTTGTAACCTAATTTTGTATCCTGCAACTTTACTGACTTTTTTTGGTCACTTCTAACAGTTTTTTGGTGGCTTCTTTAGGGTTTTTTTTTTAAAAAATATATTAGGGTGACATTGATTAACAAAATTATATAGGTTTCAAGTGTATAATTCAATAATATGTCATATGTATTCTCCGTTCTGTTCCATTGATCTGTTTTTATCCAGTACCATGTTGTTTTGATTACTATGACCTTTAGTATAGTTTGATATCAGGTAGTTTCATACCTCCAACTTTGTTCTTCTTTCTCAAGATTGACATAGGTATTTAAGATCTTTTATGGTTCTATATAAACTTTAGGATTAATTGTTTTAGTTCTGCGCAAAATGCTATTAATAATTTGATAAGGATTGCATTGAATCTAAAGATTGCTTTGAGTAGTATGGACAATTTAACGATGTTAATTCCTTTTGTGAGGACAATATATGCTTCCATTTATTTGCGTCTTCTTCAATTTCTTTTTACAATGATTTGTAATTTATTATGTACAAGTCTTTTACCTCCTTGGTTAATTTGGTTCCTAGGTATTTTATTTTTTTGATGCAGTTGTAAATGGGATTGATTGCTTAACTTATGTTTCTGATAGTTCATCATTGGTGTATAAAATGCAACCAATTTCTGAATATTAATTTTGTATCCTACTTTACTAATTCATTTATCAGAGTTAAGAGTTTTTTGGTGGAATCTTTTGGGTTCTCTCTATATAGTATTATGTCATCTGCAAATAGTAACAGTTCTAGCTCTTCATTTCTTATTATAGCCTTTGTTTTTAAGTCTGTTTTGTCTGATATAAATAAATCTTGCTACTCCAGCCTTTTTTTCATTTGAATTTGCATGAGATTTCTTTTTTTATTTCTTTACTTTCAGTCTCTGTTTATCTTTCCATCTGAAGTAGTTCTCTTGTAGATAGCATACATATGGGTTTTATTTTCTTATCCATTCAGCTACCCTATGTCTTTTGTTTGGAGCATTTAATCCATTTACATTTAATGTAATTATTGATAGGCACATATTTATTGCCATTTTATTATTCATATTTATTTTTTATTTCCCTTTTCTTCTTCTTTAAGAAATCTTTTTAACATTTCTTGTAATACTGGCTTGGTGGTGATGAATTCCTTTAGCTTTTTCCTGTCTGGGAAGCTCTTTATCTTACTTTCAGTTTCAGTTGATAGCCTTGCTGGGTAGAGTAGCCTTGGTAGTAGGTTTTTGCTTTTCATCACTTTGAATATTTTATGTCAACGTCTTCTTGCCTGCAAAGTTTCTGTTGAGAAATCAGCTGATATTCTTATGGGAGTACCTCATAAGAATAGATGTCTTTCTTTGCTGCTTCCTTGATTCTTTATGTTTCTTGAAGCATTGCATTTCTGTGTTCACATTTGAAGAGTCTTTTCTTACTGACTTTGGGACAGAAAGAAGCCAGTCACCAAATCAACTCAACTAGAGTTTTGAGGGTCTCTCAGACCTTCTCTATGAGTGTGCTCACTCCACTTTTCTTGTTCCTTCGTTGGAGGACCTATGGATTGTGTGTCTTTTCTCAGTCCTGCAAAGCCAATCCAGATTCAGGGAGCCTCCCATTTATTTTCCCTAAGGCAGTGTCCTGAAGTGGTCAAGATTGTCCATCTTCTAGTTCAGTAGAGTCAAGCCAGCTGCTGATATCCATGTGTTGCATCCAAGAGTGTGCATACTGTTGTTGATGTCTTGTGTGGACCATTGCCTGGGGAGTGTGAACTGCCAGCTCTTGGATGTGTGTTTGGAATGCTGGTGGTGATTTTTGGCTCACGTGAGCCGGGCCTGTTAGTTCATGAGTGGGGCTCTTGGTAGAGTCTGTGAGCAAGTGAATAAGATATGTGGCTGGTTGTTGTGATTTACACATAGGTTGCTGTGAGCCCTCCTCCCTTTTCACTACTTCTAGGTGTCCTCAGACTGTTTAGCTACGCCAGTTCCCTCAGTTATCTGGGTTGGACAAGACAAAAGTGGGCCTCTTAAGCAGTGTCTCTCAAGGCTGGGGAAACCAGGCTCTCATATAACTTTCATTTTGCCCTCTTGTAGAAATCACAGGCCAGGAGAGTCTCTCTTGGTATTAAACTGTTCCATCTTGGGGGAGAGTTGATGTGGGTAAAGTGAAACTGTTCTTACCTTCTTCAGTGGATCAGAGTAGGTTCATTATTTGTGACAAATGTAGCACTGTAGTGGGAGATGTTGATAATGGGGGAGGTTTTGCATGTGTAGAGCAGGGATATATGGGAAATCTCTATACTTTCCCCTCATATATTCTGTGATCTTTAAACTGCTGTAAAAAGTAAAGTCTTAATAACAAAATAAATTAGAATAAAAGTAAAATTGACATTTACACATATTTGTAAAAGGAAGCATATTCTCAAGAAACAGATATTAATACTTTTTCATTATATTTATATACATATTTTCCTTTACCAGCAATTTTGATCACTGGTTTTGATTTGAATGTTAACTCCATAAGTAGTATATTTTGTTTTCTTACCCATCACTTGGAAAATTTGTATCAGATTTGCTACAGGTAACAAATACATGTTGAAAAACGTGAGAAGAAGTGCACAGAAAACATATTCTGGGGAAGGGGTATGTATGAATGTTATATAAGCTAGGCCTCTAGGACCTTTGAAAGCTAGAACAAAGCTAGAACTTAGTTTGCATAAGATAATGATGATAGCCAGGGCTTGAATTGAGGAAGGGATTTGCTGTGATGATAATTAAATCTCTCTTAGCAAAAGCAGATATACAGAAAGGGAACCTTGGAAGCTATCAGCTAAAGAGTAAGTACTGAAGAGATCAGAGATATATATTTTTTAAATAGTTGTTTGCAATGTGGTATGTTAAATAAACCTTCTCCTGTGTGTCCTTAAATTTTCTTCTTTTAAAATCTACAAACTTTTTTTCTAAATGTTTATGGTGTGTATTGTTTTGTAAATGGTTGCTCATTTCTGCTTTAAGGATGGCATATGTAGAAACCAGAGGCTGCATAGGTGAGCATAGCCATAATGGGTTGAAAATAATTTTTACATAAATTCCTTAGCTCTGTTTTCTTTTAAAAAAATAATTATGGTAGTCTGCTTATCTTTAAGTTTCCCACATTTCTCTCAAGCATTATCCTCTCCTTTATGCACAATAAACTCAATGCCTAAGTTTCTATGCAATGCTTAAATAGTTAACAAGAAGAATAATTTCATCAGTGACTTTAGCAACGTAGAAATAAAAATGGATGGAAATTTAAAGCCTTAAGAGAAAGAAAACTTGGGTATCATTGATATGTAATCTCTTATGTTTCTTTTCCCTTCCTAGTTAAAACCAGTTGGTATACTTTGTAGGAAATCATTTGATAAAGAATGTGATTTCGCTGAATATTGCAATGGATTTAACCCACACTGTGTGCCTGACACTTTTGCACGCAATGGACAATCTTGTGATTCGGGTAACGCCTACTGTTATGGAGGAAGATGTCAGACATTTAACAAACAATGTAGAGATTTAATTGGAGGAGGTAATGATCATAATTTTCTTCTTAGTTCCTAAATTCTGATTATTCCAAGCTATGTTATTCAATTCTATAGAACAAAAATATAAATATAATTTGTTAATAAATGAAGTCTTGCCTAGCATATATTATTGTTAGGGGAAATCATATTTTCTTGGTTCTGTAAAGCGAGAAAAAGCCTCTGAATTTATATGGAATTCTTATTTGCACATGGAAGAATCCTCAAGTAGAAATACAGCTTCTCAGAAGATCATATAGAATTTGAGATGGTGTGATTTAGTTTAGACTTAAATGAAACAAGGGTTTTTACTAGAACAAAGCAGGGTTAATAACTGGTTGTGTGGATTTCAAGAAAGAATCTGTTCAAATGAACTTGTTGATGAGTGAGGGCTTCAGCTTATGACTTGCCTAGTCCAGTTTGATAGCTTTCTATAAATGTGTGGATCATTAGCTTCATTGCAATACTATAGATTTTCCTGTACATATGCAGTTCATATTCTTTGAGAGAGAAATTATCCATTCTCAGTTCTCCTTTTAGGCCTTCCTTGGCCAGGTCATAAGAAAGAATTCTAAGAATTATCTAGATCGATATGAATGCCAGAATTTTAAGTAGGAAATGACATAGAGGTTTTGGTGATTATTACAATTTTGTTTTGCTTTTCTATCAGAATCATGGTTGTGCTGTCTGGAAAGACAATGGCCACATTGAAGTGTTATTTAAAAAGACATATGATTTCACTCATATGTGGAATATAAAACTGAAAGCAACAAACAAGACAAACAAACAAACAAAAACTCATTGACAGAGGCAACAGTATAGTGATTACCAGAGGGAAAGGACATCAAATACATGGTGACAAAAGGAGATTTGACTTTTGGTGGTGAACACACAAGTCAATATACAGATGATGTACTATAGAACTATATTCTTGAAATCTATGTAATTTTATTGATGTCACCCCAATAAATTTAATAAATTAAAAAAAAAACATAATTGAGGTAAAAATAAACAAATACCAGTAAAATTAGAAAGAACAGAAAAGTGTACTCCAAATTCAATATTTCTCCAAGTAAAACCAGGGAAATAAATCTTAGTGCTGGCCAGACATTTTTAGAGTTTGATAGTGGGATGTCAGGTGTTCTCTAGGTGATTTATCCTACTTACTGTTTCTTTAGTATTAGCAGTGATTTTAAAGCCCTCTGTTAGAATTTTATGTGTTTAAGTGCAATAGTCTTCACCTAAAATAACACAAATTTCTTCTTGGAGGCAAGTATAACATCTAAAGCATCTTGATTTCAAACTAATGACTGTCCAATCCTAGTGACCACTTGTGTGAATGCATCTACAATATGATAAGTCTGGGCCTGACTGTCAGTAAGCTTTTGTACTTATTTTTAGAAAACAATCCCAATTTTTAAGCTTCCTGTAGTGCTTGGGGACAATAGGCAGCTATTGAAAATTTGCCCTCAGTCATCATAGTATTTCAACTCAAATTAACTATAATTCTTTGACTAGTTCTTTTATGGCCTGTTGTGGACACTAGTTAACTAGAATGGTCTTGACTACAGGGTTCGAAGCACTTTTGATGCAGGCATTAGTTTCACAAGATAAAAACCATATATGATTTATAGGCAACAGCCAATAAAAATCTTTTTCCATGGACCTAATACAAATCATTATGTACTACCAAATGATTGTGGTTTTTTTTTGTTAAAATATGCTTATGGTATAATATTGAAAGATATAGCTTCTGCATGAAGAAATATCATTTAAAGTAGAGAAATCTATACATTTATGGTAAAGGACCTTGAGTTTCAGTAGTAAATCTTTTAAAAAATTAGATCAGCAAAGATAGCTCAATGGGAAATGTACCACCTTTTTATAAGCTCCTTATCAAATTCTGTTTTGCAACATGCTTATGAGTGTTATTTCTGCACATGCGGAAACTCCCTAATCTGGGTATCATATAAATGATGTTAAAGTTTTGGTGTCATTTAGTTTGTGGTGATTCTAGAAGGTAGAAAATCTCATTAATTATAAAGTCACAGACATTATTAGGGGGATTTGTCACCAGATAGAATTGTGTGGCACATAAAGGTATGTGAGTATAAACCCAACAGTTACATCAGAGTTTCTCAGCCTGAGAATTACTGGTATTTTGTCCAGACAACTCTCTGCTGTGAGAGGTCAGGGTGAGAGGGATTTTCCTGTGCATTGTAGCATATTTAGCTGCATTTATAGTCTTTGCCTACTAGATACAATGCTTGCAGAAATTTTTGATTTTCACAGCTGGGGTGAGACTGTCTTTTAGAGGATAGAAGTCAGGATGCTACAAAACATCCTCCAATGCAAAGAGCAGTCTGTACAACAAAGAATTATCTGGCCCTCAATGTAAGGACTTACTAATGCTCTCTTATTAATTGGTTTCTGTTTGTAGTTTCATGGGGAAAAATATTTGCATGTAATATATCTGATAAGAAAAATTAATATTCAGAATTATAGAAAACTCCTAAAACTCAACAACACAAACCAAATAGCCCAATTAAAATTGAGCAAAGAACTTGAATAGAGATTTCTCCAAAGAAAATATACTAAAGGCCAATAAACATAAAAAAGAAGCTCAAGATTACTACGCATTAAGGAAACAAAAATCAAAACTACAATGAGATGCCACCTAACTCCCATTGTAATAGCTACTATAAAATAAAAGACAAGTGTTGGTGAGGATGTGGGGAAATTAGAACCATGTGCCTTGTTGGTGGGAATGTAAAATGGTACAACCACTATAGAAAATAGTATGATGGTCTCTCAGAAAGTTAAAAATAGAATTAGCATATGACCCAGCAATTCCACTTCTAGCAATTCCACTAGTTAACTAGTGTCCACAACAGGCCATAAAAGACCTAGTCAAAGAATTATAGTTAATTTGGGTTGAAATACTATGATGACTGAGGACAAATTTTCAATAGCTGCCTATTGTCCAAAAGAACTGAAAGTGGTGTCTGTAAGAGATATTTGTACACCCGTGTTTATAGTAGCATGTTTATTTATTTTTATTGTTTATTGGGATAACATTGGTTAATACAATTATATAATTTTCAGGTGTACATTACCATTTGACATCTGTATATTCTACTGTGTGTTTACCACCTAAAGTCCAGTTTCCTTCAGCTACCATATATTTGATCCCCTTTACTCAGTTCACCCTCCCCCTACCCCGCTATATTTGATCCCCTTAACATCATCTACCTCCCCTCTCCTCCCCTTCTGGTAACCACTAGTCTATAGTCCATGTCCATGAGTCTCTGTCTGTTTGTCCTATTCATTTGTTGCTTTTAGGTTGATATCCCACATATAAGTGATATGTGATTTTCAACTTTTTCTGTCTGGTTTATTTCGCTTAGCATGATTATCTCGATATCCATCCATGTTGTTGCAAATGGCAGTATTACATCTCTTCTTATGGCTGAGTAATATTCGATTGTATATGTGTATCACTGCTTCTTTAGCCAATCATCTATCGTAGGACACTTTGGTTGCTTCCATGTCCTGGCCACTGTGAATAGTGCTGCTGTGAACATTGGTATGCAAATATCATTTTGGATATGAGTTTTCAAGTCTTTGGGGTAAATACCCAGTAGAGGGATTGCTGGATCATATGGTAAATCAATTCTTAGTTTTTTGAGGAACCTCCATACTATTTCCCATAGTGGCTGTACCAATTTGCAGTCCCACCGGCAGTGTATAAGGGTTCCTTTGTCTCTGCATCCTCTCCAGCATTTGTTATTACTTGTCCTGTTGATTATAGCTGTTCTAACAGGTGTGAGATGGTATCTCATTGTGGTTTTGATATGCATTTCCCTAATAGCTAGTGGTGATGAGCATCTTTTTATATGTTTGTTGGCCATTTCTGTGTCTTCTTGGGAGAAGTGTCTGTTCGTTCCTCTGCCCATTTTTAATTGGATTGTTTTAGGCAATTTTTTTTGTTGTTATTGAGTTGTATGAGTTCTTTGTATATTTTAGATATTAGGCCCTTATCAGAGGCATTACTTACAAATATATTTTCCCATTCAGATGATTGCCTCTTTACCTTGCTGATGTTTTCTTTTGCTGTGCAAAAGCTTTTTAGTTTGATGTAATCTCATTCGTTTATTTTTGCTTTTACTTCCTTGCCTTTGAGGTCAAATTCATAAAATCCTCTTTAAGTCCAAGATCCATGAGTTTAGTCCCTATGTTCTCTTCTATGCTTTTTATTGTTTCAGGCCTTATATTCAGATCTTTAATCCATTTTGAGTTAATTTTGGTTTGTGGTGATAGACAACAGTCTAGTTTCATTCTTTTGCAAGTGGCTTTCTAGTTTTCCCAGCACTATTAATTGAAGAGGCTTTCTTTTCTCCACTGTATATTTTTGGCGCTTTTAACGAAAATTATTTGCGCATATAAACATGGGTTAACTTCTGGACTCTCGATTCTATTCCACTGGTCGGTCTGTCTGTTTCTCTGCCAATACCATGCTGTTTTGATTACTGTCACTTTGTAGCAGAGTAATGCCTCCAGCCTTGTTCTTTTTTTCTCAGGGTGG